TCACTAAAGAAACAATCCAAACTTTTACCTGCCTGAAATTGAAAGAAGCAGGACGAAGTACTTCACAAAGCTAAGAAATCATCCAAATCCGCTAGCTAATGCTTTATGCAACCCATCGAGAAATTCTCGCCTGCAACGAAGAGATATTCCCGCCTTCTAAGGAGAGCGCCGCAGTTTGTAAAGGGCTCAGAGTAAAATAACTCGAGCTATCATGTTTGTAATTTACTTTTTAAAATTTGTACACTTACTGTTAGGCTTATATTACAGCAGACCCAGTAAATAAATGAATTCTGTATTAAAAAAAAAAAAACAAAAAAAAATCCTTTTACCATGAGTATAAATAAGACAGTGTCCGGTTATTACGCCGGTTTTTATGCTTTTGGAGGCCCGGCTTGAAAGATGTAGAGATTTAGTTTTCTTTTCCTCGATTAAAGGTCAAATTTATCATGTTAGATTGCATGTGGATTCGCTTTGAGATAGCCTTAGTACATACTTTGCCGAGAAAAGCGGTATGCTCCCGTCATGTGCAGAGTTTATCGTGGTTAATACTGTACCCTTTATGTCCGGTTAGTCGGTTACGTAGTATCTCCTTATGATCAAGGATTCATACAGTCGAGAGTTGGTATAAAAAAAATAAATCAATTAATCGGGTGCTACTATATCTAAAAAAGGTAAAGTTATGATCTTCGCCGGGAGACTCGTATAGACCGTTACTTGCAATATACAATAGATAATTCTAATCTGCCTATTATGTACAATACTATGGACCTTAAACTGAACTTCACCCTTCATTTTGGCGTGACAGTTGACAAAGTCAAATGTATATTGGCATTTCTAAATTGGGGGCTAAAGGAATGCAAGGGTTTTTATATTATTGCTAAAACTTTGTTCACAACATTAGTAAGATCTATTCTGGAATATAGTAGAATTGGCGCTTTGGAACCGCTGAAAGTTAACATTCCCTGCCGAATGACCACCGCAATTAGAAAATTTAGCTTAATTTTAAATTTAAATAAATTTCCTATAACGTATGGATTTGAATTCGGCCCTTCCGGTTGGCAGTATGCAATGCTAAGCACTCGGCTACCGCGGCTGCCGTTTGATCGAATAAAATTTATTCATATATATATATATATTTGACGTTTTGTAACCGAGCTCATCCTCCTACTTGTGGTTTTGCATTTTGATGTTTTTCTAACAAATGGAGGGACCTGCACTTTCTACTAAGCCGCCTCCGAACGGTTGATGGTTTTTATGAGGAGCTTTATTTTATGTCCGAAATACATTCGAAAGGGTGGACATTCCCTGCCGAGGGGCGAACGCAATTAGAAACTTTTTTTATTTTAATTAATTTTCTATAACTTTTTCGATTGGTGGGATTTGAACCCGAGCCTCCTTAAACAAGAAATCGGGTAAATTAGAGCAAACAAACACAATTGTTTCAATTAGAATAACCTCATTCATATTCTTGTATTTAATCTAGAGCTTTAGATTCCCGGGTACGAACAGCTCAATGCTACTATTTAATTGAACAACTGTTTAAATGTTTGTTTGCAGAACAAAAATTTCCAATTTTGTTTGACGAAATTTCTTTAGCATTTGAAAGATTTTTATATTTTGCTTAAATAAATTGGGATTTTAGAAAATAATCGTGGTTGTAGGCGCTTGTAAAACTCTTTCTCCATTGCAAAAAATTAACAATTCGTCTGGGAGTGTTCTGCTTGAAACAAGTAGCTGCAGAGATTGTCCCTTCACTGGCGTCTCAGCAAATTCGGCAGACTATTCATATGTGTCCCACCTTCTCGGCGTTCAGGTAGATGTGGCATTGCCTATGACCGATCCGCCGTTTGTCTTGTATGTTGCCAACAATATTTTTTTGTCCATATCCCTAGTGTATTTTGGGTTGGGGTGTAGTCAAGCTTCTGGGTACAGTTACAGTCGCAGGGCTATAATCAATTTCTACTCTTCCGTTCACGCCGCGCACCCTAGAAACGTGAGCACCCCATGTGCAAGATACGGTAACGAATCCATATGGAGTCTTGGATTACGGCTAAAAGAAAAGTAGCTTCAGTAGAGTTATTAAGACTTTTGGGTTTGTTTTGGTTTAAGAGTCCGCTGAAGTCTAATTGTAGGGCCTGTCCACTAGAAATGCGGCTTAGTCGCCTAGTGCGGTTGTGTTCTGGGTTTGGGACCCGCCACGCAGAAACCAGCTCCAATGAAATAATTACACATGCCTTTGATAAGATACCTCCCTTCTGATGACGGCCCCGCAAATGTTTTAAGGATCACGATTTGAAAGCATGCAACTGGAATGTTCGGTGCCTTAATTGGGAAGGTGCCGCTGCCTAGCTGGTTGATGCCCTCGTAGGAATAAAGGCTGACATAACTATAGTCTACGAAGTGCGTTGGACGGGAAAAGGACAGAAGCGAAGAGGTCCTTGTGTCATTTACTACATCGGCCATATAGCGCAAATGTGGTGCCGGCTTTGTGGTTGGATAGAGACTCCGTTGTAGAGTACTGGCATTCGCCCTGTTTAACATATCGTTGATTTGAACCCACGCCCCGACAGAAGAAAATTACGATCAGAGATACCTTTCATGAACGCCTGGTGTATAGTCATTAGCCCTAACCCCTGCGGGTTAGGGGCTCAAGAATTTACCCGCGGTAAGGCATGCCTGTCGTAAGAGGCGACTAAAATCCAATAGTTCCCGCGGCAGTCGGGTCTTTATACCGGAACGACCCGGATTTTTATCCGGCCAAGGACTGTCAATCCCGCAACATTCGCCAAAAAGTACTTTGGGGAATAATTTCGCGGTTACAACAACAACAACAACAGTCATTAGCCCTGCTCCCGGCACTAAGTGAAAATCGTGCTTGGCGATGAAAGAGGATCGGCACATACCACCTCTTCGTCGATTTTAAAGTAGCCTCCGACAGCGCGAATACGACCTGCCTATACGTCGCTATGTCTGAATTTGGCATCACCGCAAAACTGACGTTAAGCAACACCAAAAGCACCGCCAGGATCGCAAGGGACCTCTCTAACCGTTCGATACCAAACGAGGTTTCAGACAGGGTTATTCCTTATAGTTTGACTTCTTTAATTTATTGCTGGAAGAAATAATAAGAGCTTCAGAGCTGAATAGAGAAGGTGCAATCTTCTATAAAAGTTTACAGCAAATGATATTGATATTATTGGGCTCAAGCACTACCCCGTCAGTTCTGCATTCTCCAGAAAAGATGAGGAAGCGAAGGATATGGACCTGGTAGTGAAAGAGGTCAAGACGAAATATATCCTATCATCAAGCAAAAGGTCATCGCATCCGGGACTGTTGACAGTCATTACTTTGAAGTCGTAGATAACTACGTCATTTTGCAACCAGTATAAACACCAACAACAATGTCCTCCTGAAAATCCAACACAGAATCACTCTTGCCAACAGGTGCTACTTTGGACTGAGTAGGCAATCGAAGTCCTCTCCCGACGAACGAAAACCAAACTCTACAAGTCGCTTATCGTATTATTAGCCATAATAATTAGTTGCCGAATTGAATGATTTGCACGTTTTTGTATGCATACGTACGAATGTAGAAGGTTGTCTCTTTTTACTGCTTCAGGCACTCGAAAAGTGATTGAAACATTTCGCAAGGAGACTTTCTCTTTTCAGTGTTCCTACGCAACCAGCTAGGCTAATGCGACAGTGCAACAGACAGAAACGACGGGAAAATTAATGGACAAAAGTGTAAACCAAAACAACGAGCATAACTACAAATTTGCCTCACAGCAGACTGATCGCAAACCGCTACTGACCAGCCAATCTGAGCAAGTGCGTTCCACTACATATAACTACATGTATATGTATGTACACGTATGTATGTATGACTGAACATTTTTCAACCGGCTGACAGCAGTGGCAGACACCTTTCTATGCTACATACTACAATTGGTAGCAAGTTTATGACCACAACGGTATTAGTGAATGCAGACAGTAATTGCGCTATTGTACGCATTAAAGAAAAGTGATCATGAAATAATGTTGTTGCATTTTGCAGCACCAATGCAATGATGCCAGTAAAATATTGAAAACAAAGTGTCTGTTAACAGCAATGAAGAGTTCGGAAATGTAGTTTCATTTTCATTTCTTTCTTAAACCAATATATCTATATACGAAGACGAATAACATATGGTAATTATGAAATACAGAGGCAAAGAAATTTACTGCAAAATTCTATTTTGCAGAGATTACCCTGATTGTAAAAATTGACGATTTTTTTATTATTACAAAAAAGAAAATAAAAAATATTAGTTAAAAAAAAAACATAAATAAAAATTTTTCAAATAATATTTGTCTTACAAAAATAAATAAATAAAATGGCCCATAGATCTAATTACTTTTTTTTGCTTCGGTTAAGGCTATTTTGCAGAGATTACCCTGAATGTATATATGTATTATATTTTATTTTTAATTATTTCAAAAAAAAAAAAAACTTTTTCTAATATTATTTGTCTTAAAAAAAATTTTTTTTAAATATTATTTGTCATGAAAAAAATGAGCCATTGATCTAGTTACTTTTTTTTTGCTTCGCTAAAGGCTATTTTGCAGAGATTACCCTAAATGTAAAAGTTGGCGATTTTTTTTATTATTACAAAAGAAAAGAAAATTAAAAAAATTTTTTTTTCTTAAAAAAAAATTAAATAAAAATTTGTAAAATATTATTTGTCGTAAAAAAAAAAAAAAAAAAAAAAAAAAAAAAAAAAAAAAATGAGCCAAAGATTTATTTTTTAAGGCATCAAACAGGTTTATGAAAATTTCTAAAATTGTTTATACCATGAGATTAATTATATAAAAAAAACACGCTTCATGAAAGGTTTTTTTTAGGTTAGAATAACCTATTAATAAATATTATTGAAAAAGGGGAAAAACTTCTAAAAGATAAAGCAACACTATATTATATGTCTATATTTAAAAAAATTATATTACGTAATTTGAAAACTTACCCGATAAATTGTCTAGCATATATGTTAATAGTTTCTGAGTGCCATTTGGCTCATTGTAGATTGAAAGAAATTCTTTTTGTAAGGGATTTCCCATTAAACCCAGAACGTGCAAATGAAAAAGCTTGCCGATTTCATAGGGGAGAACTCGCAAGTAATTGTTGTTTAAAAGAAGCTCTCTGCAAATAAATATATAATTATCAATAAAGGGAAAGTTTTACAGCATACATAAAAGTTAGGCATTTTTTAATTTTAAAAATTAAAATTTATATAAATTTTAATAGTAAAAATTTTGTTTTTTGAAAATATACAAGAGATAATCAAATAAATTTACTTTTAATAACTCAAAAATTACCCTAAGTCAAATGTAGATGATCTTTTGCGGGTATTTTATTTAAAACGATAAGAAATAATAATTAACCCAAAAAGAATTTCATACATATTTACATACATTAATCATATATAAAATATTTTTCTTCTGACACCGACAATTGCAATATTTATTAATAATTTTTAGAAAATATTAAATAATTGATATTTTAAATTGAATTTTAAAATAAAAACCAATTGGAAACTATGTATAATTACCTCAGCTGTATAAGCTCGCCCAATTCTGCCGGCAAACTACGCAACTTATTGCTTGATAGATCCAGTGTACGTAAATTGCTGAGCAAACCAATATCGGCAGGCAAGCGTAAGAGCTGATTGTCATTGAGATACAAAGCTGTCAAGTGTTCGAACTCCCACAAAGATGGACTAATATTACGAACACACCCTATAATGGATTTGAAAATAAAGTTAGATCACAATCATACACATAAAGGAATCCAGGAATTAATTGTAAAATACGAGTATTTTGACAAAATAACATGATATACTTTGAAAAATATACTTGATAAGGAATGATGTAGTTTTTCATCACATACCTGTTATCTCAATACCGGTCCAAGATGATTTTTTACCAGCAGCCACATCCTCTGCAGACATAAAAATCTGTTGTCGTCTATTTGCACTCTCGTATTTCTCCTTATTACGAGACATTTTGTATAGATTTCCTACGCGACAATAACATAGAAAAAATAATTAATGCACTGACTATTTTCAAAAGCAAATAAAGAAAATATATAAAATTGTAAAATAGTTTAAATTATAATTGTTGAATGACAACAAAACTACAAATCGATTAGGCACGCGAAGTTAAATTTTGTGCAGGAACACAAATTTTAGTTGTTTTGTGTAGGCAAATGCAAAACAAACATAATTTAATACAGTAGATGTATGAATATGGTTAAGTAGTAAAATAAATTAATAATTGGCAAATAACTCTACTTTCATAACGTTTGAAATCGATTTGAAAATTTCGAAGTTATTTGTCAAATAAAAATAATTTTCGAATAAATACATAAATTTTTTTTTTTAATTTTTAATTGTTGAAAAATGATAACCTTTCATAATAACCGCCTGATGATAAGCGTCTCTGCAAAATATTAATAAAGTTTTGATTAATATTATTTCATTGTTATGATTAATGTGATAGTAGTTAGGAAATAAACAAGCAACAAACGCAAATTAACAAGGGATTGAAAAGGAAAATGTGGGAAAAGGTAATCGAAAAATTATTCCTGGCTAAAATTTATAATACGCATATTTGAGGAATTACACGAACTAAGTTTTTGCTACACATAAGCTCCACCGCTAATAGGAGACTGTATGAAAAGCTCCTTAGTAATTATTTAATATAGCTTGAACAAACATCCAAACAGGCCGTGTACATTATCTATCATTATGATCCTTAAGCTGTTTTCCATATTCAGCGTCAGTTTGGTTCAGTTTCAATCCTAAAAAATCATTAGTAAAAATGTAAAATTTTCAGTATATTTCTTTTAAAAATCATCTCGCGATATTGGTAGTCTTTTCATAGTCTTACGATTTTCCTTTCGCATAGTATCTCTCTGCCACATACAATATACCTCTGCGGGTTTGGGGTTCAAGAATTTACTAGAGGTACTACATGCCTGTCGTAAGAGGCGACTAAAATCTAATAGTTCCCACGACAATCGGGTCTTAATACCGGAACGACTCGGATTTTTATCCGGCCAAGGACTGTCGCTCCCGCAATATTCCCCAAAAAGTACTTCGGAAAATATATTTGCGGTTATAACAACAACAACCACCACAAACAATACATTTTATTCTTTATCTATTGAGAATATTCCTCGTCAATTCTGATTTATGTGCTAGCTCTCTGATTCCTAACAAGTAAAAAAAATTAAGAGCAGATTTTTTGTAAATTGATTAAATATGCATTCCTAGTATGTCTTACTGAACAACAAGTATGGTATGAGAGCGCTACATAATCATTGATTTCATTATAACACTTTGCTCCAGTCTATGCCATAATTAAAAACTACTCTAGCAAAAGAATGCTGGTATAATCTTCACATGTTAGAAATAATATCATAAGGAAATTTATGCTCATTCATTAGCGTATTTATTTATTTAAAGTGAAATTGAGCGCGTTGAAGATATGTGTATAAAATGACAGCGTAGTAGCGCAGCAAATAAGGAAGACAACTAAAATTATGACAACGTAGACAAAACTTAGTCAAAGTTAATTGGAAAAGGGAAACAGCAAAATATCACATAAACCTGCCTGCATTTACTTTTACCCAATGTTTCAGTACTTCCGCGCTAGCCACTGCGTACTATCAAGACCCGATTGCAAACACTGCTGCTGATATTGCCAATATTGCTGTTGTGGGCTTCTTTCGCTTCCACTGCAATCAAAGCTGGGAAATTGGTTGTCTTTATTTTATTTAACAGTTTTAACGTTCGCCTTTTTAACTATATCTTTGTAAAATTTCTTCGGCTACTATTCCGCTAGAAACTCCAGGCGTCAAATTGTCAAAACTTCAGACGAATATCAGTGAAATTGGGGCGCCCTTTTCCTTTCGCTGATCAGCTTGCAATCTTCTTAATTTAATCGCCTTTTTAATAGTTTTTTTTTAACTGCTGTATTTTGTATGATAGTATATTTGTATATTGTAGTGTAATATTTGTTTATTGTTTTTTATTTTAGTGAAAATGTTTGCATTTAGCTAGATAACCACACTTCTTTCTTATTTCTGCTCTTCGTTCTTCAACTTTTAACTTTTGTTCACGGCGATTTGGCATTCTATTAACATTCGTTGTTGTGTTGTTGAGAAAATTGTTTTGTATACATTGGTGAACTTAATTGTTGAAAACTCGGATTGGGTGTGCCAGATGGCTATAATCTTGGAAAATATTTGTGTTACCAGAGAACGTTCGTACGCTCAAAGAACGTAACTAAAGCTCATTCTAGCGCTAGTGTCGAATGTTTTGTTTACCAAAAGAACACGAGTGAACTTCCCAAAGCTCAGTACAAGCAATCAGTGAGGCCAACACAGCGTTGTTTAGTTACAAAGTGAACTCGTTGGTTATATCATTACGAAAAAATAAAATTGGTAGAGTATGAAAGTTGCAAAACAAGTTCGAGAACAAAGTTAATAAGATTGAGGAACATCTCCGTGATTGAAAAACAAGTCGTAGTGCATAGACAAGAAAAAATACAGTGATCGAACTCGGAGGATTTGGGAAATCACACACATATTAAGTATATGAAAAAATTAGTTAGTTAATGCACCCAATCAAAAACCTTTTTTGTTGGTATTTAAATTTTATTTTTAAATTTTGCTTTCCGTAATTTACAATAAAGTTGATATATGTATAAATTTAAAATCTTTACATAACTACTACGTTTCAAAGAATATATAAAGACTAAATTAAAAAGTATAAACGAACAGTGACACGTAAATATAATACAGTTTTTGACTTGACCATAATTTAAGTCCCTATATACACCTAATTACTAAATCTATAACTAAACTATTCTCACGATTATATCATAATTCCATTAATTGCGGTACTCCGCAACAGCGATTTTTAGTTTTAACCTATTTACATGTAGAAACCGTTATTAGAATTGATTAAATCCAAACTGTTCCATGAACAGTGCCTCCGAATGTTAGTTTGAATTATCACCGATTTCACTAACGGTTATTGTCATCTTCTCCTCATCACCAGTACTATCATTATCTTCATCAAGTTCTTCTTCGTCCTCATCGAGCTCTTCATCACCATAACTATCACTGGTAATATCTTCATCATCATCATCCGCCGATTGTGCAGTCAAATCGTTACCACTGACCACCTGCATTACAGTGCCTGCTGACCCGTTTACTCCAGTGTTACTACCAACATTTGCTGAGCCTAGCTGAGCTACATTGGATACGGCAGAGTTCTGCAATTCAATTGTTAATACCCCATTAGATGTATTAACACTTTTCGATACACTTTCAGACGTATTGCCATCTTGAATTCCACCCCCATTGCCTGCATTACGTTGAATATTCGCTTTGTCTTCTGGTTTCATATTAAGCTCGACAAGATCAAGTGGGGAACGGATTTTGAAGTGTGTCTTTATATGTTTCGAGAGATGATCACTTCGCATGAATTTCTTATTGCATTCACGGCACTGAAAACGTTTTTCTCCTGTATGAGTGCGTCTATGACGCTGCAATTCATCGGAGCGGGTGAAGCGTTTTCCACAGAACAACCACGAGCATACAAAGGGCCGTTCCCCAGTGTGCCATCTCAAATGAGCACGCAAATGGGACGTTTTGCCATACACCTTGTTGCAACCCGGTATGTGGCAGATATGTTGCCGTTTCCGATCCGCATGTTTTTCACCTTCCATACAATTCGGACAAGTGCAAGCGACACGTTTTAGACGCGGTTTTATCTCTATGCCTCCTGCGTTTGAATTCGTACCGTCGATGGCACTCATACTACTGTTGATGTTAACCGTGCTATTGCCTGATCCAACATCGTTAACGTTCACAGAGGTTGTTGATGACGTGGACACTGCTGTTGCTGCAGCGTTTGCTGCGTCTAATTGTGTTTGTATAGCATGAAGTTGTGCCTGTTGTTGTTGTTGTTGCTGTTGATGCAACTGTTGAGCCAGTGCCGCTGGTGCTGTTGCTATTGTGATTTGTGCACCCCCTCCACTCGATGTTACGGCTGTGGACGGCGGTACTATCGGATTATTCTGTGAAACCAAACTGCCCATAGTTGTTATAGCAGAGGGTTGAGCTTTCAACATTGTAGTGCGATTTTGATTGGTGGGTGTAATAGTGAAGCTGTGAGTTTGTGGGACGGCTGTAATTTGTATGGATGCAGGTAATTGTGAAGTTATCGTTGAATTATCGTTAGATGATTGTTGTGACTGGTCAACTTGCTGCTGCTGCTGCTGAGATTGCAGTTGTTGCATATTAACAGCAATGCTTTGTGGTACAACCCATTTAATTTGCTGCGGAGTTTGACTTGGATCAGGTGGTTCTTGTTTAATATTTGTAATTAATGTATGTTGCACTTGAGAAGGACTTTGTGGCTCTTGTTTTGGCTGAACTAGATTTGTACTTGTTGTAGACGAAGTTGTGCCCGTTTGTGGAATCGATGTTTGTACCACATTAGGTAGAGTTCCTTGATTCGATGGTAATTGTACCTGCGGTTGTTGATGCAACTGCTGTGGCATTATAACATGTTGAAAACTACCTTGTAGTTGAGGAGGAAGGTGGTTGGCCTGAATTATTTGAACCTGTCCTATACCAGGTATATTTTGAATTGGCAAAGCCTGTATACCCGATAGTTGTTGAAGTTGAATAAGATTTGAAGCGGGGTTTGGGGCAGGAGGTGCTGCTGTTGCTCGAAGTTGTTGCAGTTGTTGTGCAGGTATAACGGTAAGTTGCTGACCCTGTGCATTAGTTATAGTGATTGGCTGATTTGTTGGTAGTTGTATACCAGATTCTGATGCTGCACTTAATGCATTTAGGATCTGCTGTTGTTGTTGCTGCTGTTGCTGTTGTTGTGCAACCTAAACATAATACAATTTTCCGTATCAAATGAACATAAATTTATTCCATTTTACATACCTGTTGCTGCTGCTGTTGTTGCTGTTGTTGATGCTGTGCTGTAACAGCAGCTTGTGCAGCTGCTGCAGCAGCGGCAGCTTGTTGTTGTGGATTAGTAGATGAGTTCTGTTGTTGTGGCTGTTGAATATGTATAATATTTGCATTAGGTGGTAATTGTGGATATGACATGGCATTTAGAGGAGCTAGTTGCACTTGCTGTATTTGCCCATTCGGTGTAACAATTTGGGCTATTTGTGCGAATTGCGGAATTATTTGCATCTGAGTGGGAGGCAAAGCAGACATTGGCAGCGCTTGTGAAGGTATCATGTTTGGCAATCCCGCTGCATTTAGTTGATGCACAGGCACATGTACCGTTTGATATATTGTCTGGCCACCACCGGTCTGAATCGGAATTTGCACGGCAACTGTTTGTTGTAATGCAGTGGCAGTTTGTTGTTGTAAGCCATGAGGGAACTGTATAAATTGCGGAATGGCTGTTTGGGCAGAATTGGCATTGGCCGATGTCCCGGCATGTCTTATTTGCACATTTTGTAGAGTTTGACCGTTTTCGAGTTTAATTGTGTTGTTACTTAAAATATTACCCAAATTTCCCAATAAGCCATTTGAGGCTGCCACTGATGTTGGAATCTGTATGTTGGTACCTGGTATGGTAATTGTATTAGGCAGGGTTGTAGTTTGACTGGCATTAGTCGACACTTGCGGTGTACTTGTTGGTGGTTGTGTACTACTATTATTAGAAGCACTCCCGCTTGTAGAACTATTAGTCGATTGAGACTGACTTTGTTGCTGTTGTTGTAACATTTGTTGCTGTTGCTGTGCTGCGGCATTAATAATGGGTACTTGGATGTTGGTACCCGGTATTGTAAATAATGTTTGCTCTGGCGATCCAACACCTGGTGGGAATTGCATAGCTTGACCCAGTCCATGTATAAATTGTGTCGCAGGCTGCAACTGCATTGCTGTGGGTGCTGAGCCAGCTGTAGGTGCCCGTACAATTTGTCCATTAGGTGTAATAAACGCTTGCTGTCCATTAATATTTATAGGCTGCGCAGGTGTTGATAATTGTGCAGCATTTAAATTTGGAATAAAGATCGCTTCTTGTCCATCAATGGTCACTGTTTGCATTGGCTGCACAATTTGGAACATGTTTTGCGTGGGTATAGCGGGATTTTGCTGCGATGCAGGATTGGACGTCTGGACAAATTGCTGAGGCAGATGTTGCAAGTTGATAATTTGTTGCAACGGCACATTGTTACTTGCATTTGTTATTTGAGCGTTAGGTGTAGCGTTGACAAATGTCGTTTTGACTTGGGCGCTAGGTGCTGTCCCTGTCGTTTGCTGTTGGAGAGTTGGTGTGGGCGGTGCGGCCGCAGACTGTCCTGTACTGGTATTTACGGTGCTACCGCCAAGGGCACTGTTTTTATATTGTAACATTTGGTAAAATACTGGTTATTAAATCGAGATAAATATTTTATATGTGAGTTCATAAGTAATGTTGTATCGCCTTTGCAAAGCACTCCTTGTTTGACCACTTTTCAAGATGCTCAGCGACAGTTCAATTCATGTTTTTAGTTATTGAAAGAATGCAACAAATTAAAAAGAAAATCTTTATAACATTTAACAGACACAATTTCTACACTTTTTTTTAAATAGAATAATAAAGTTTTTGGCGAAAAAACAAAGTTTTTCAACCAATTTGTTTATATTACTTGACGTCTTCAGGCGGCCATTATAGAAAAATTAAGTGCTACCCAGTCAAAACTGTCAAATTATAAGTGCTGCCATAACAAATAAATAAATAAATAAATGATAAGTACGTTCACGTACTTTTTTGGTAGAATTGATAGTAACTAAATTAGCACATCAGTGATTGACTTGAGCTGAAGCTCAACGAAACCAAGTTTTCGATTTGTTTGACAGTTTTTATATAGCGAGAAGAGTTTTAGTTTAAGTAAGAAAACTACTTTTTGCTACACAAATAGTTTTTCAACTTCATTACTTTCTCATAAATATACTTATGTATTTTGCGTTGAGAAAAAGGGGAAACAAACCATTGTTGTGCCCATGATACAAAATAGAAAGGTAGTTTCACTCAATATAAAAGTGACAGAAAGAGATTTTTCGACTTTACAACTTATTTTCATTTTAACTTCAAGATATTGCCACTTTAAAAATATTTCATAAATTTTTTTTTATTAAAAAATGCTTAGCCTCCTGAAAATAATTTTATCTTCACTAGATTTCAGAAAATACTATACAATGCAAAGTCAAAGTTTTTTGTGAGTACATTTTATTTTTGTCTGTTTTTTGTTTGCATTGAAAGATATATTTTTTTTTATTAAAAAATGCTAAGCCTCCTGAAAATAATTTTTTTTCCATTACATTTCAGAAAATACAATGCAAAATCGAAATTTTTTGTGAGTACGTTTTATTTTTGTCTATTTTTTTGTTTACATTGAAAGGTTATGCATTTATTGTGATAATTTATTGGAATAATTTTTGAAAGTTGGACATTTTTTTTAACGAAATTCGTAGCTTAAAAATCAAGCAAAAGTCAAAAAAATTTTTTATGTCCGAAGCTTCTTTTTTTTAATTTTCAAAGTGAAACTACCTTGCTTAGTATCATGGAATTGCCAATAAGAAATCTTCAATTATTCGAAAAATTTCTTTATTTTTTTTCTTAGGAAGATTCAATTATTACTTTTTGAAGTATGATAATTGAAAAAAAAAAATTGTCACTAGTAATATTTCGTTCGTTTTGCAGGTAATGTTAGTAGCGTAACGCGAAGTAATAGGTTTTATCTGACACTGATTTAAGACAAAGCGGGACAAAACTTTTATGCAGATAAACTTATTAGTTTTATCTGCGTTGGCCTTAATATAAGGTAAAATAAATCACTGTTGGCGTTGATAATGATTATTTTGGTTGAAATGAACACAGTTTTGTCGGCCTTTTAAAAGAAGAAAAATGTTGCTGCATACTACGTAGTTTGTTAATTTATATTTTACGTGCAAAAAATAAGAGGCAATCTTTTTAAGTGTAACTTTTGGATTTAAAGAGAACTGATGCGTAATGATACGCCTTCGCCGGCGTTATATATTGATTTTCCTCGGTGCTTTCACTGGGGTTTTCCTTCTACTTTATTTGCTATTAAATTCTACATCAAATTCACAACGAGTAAGTATTAGGCAGGGAATGTCAGCTCCTCATAAAAAACTATCATCCATTCGGAGGCGGCTTAGCGTAAACTGTAGGTGCCTCTATTTGGTGGAAAAATGATCAAGGCGCACACAACAAATTAGTTACAATACACTAACAATAATAATAACAATAATGACAAAGTACTGGAAAAGAAAGAAAACCATAATCAAAACTTTTTAAAATCTTTTGTTAGCCTAATTATAAAGCAATAGTTTCAAAATTACAATCCCTGGAAGATGGATTACACCGTCATGGGCAGGAAATGAAACATCTGAAAAATCGGTTAGAACACCATTGGCAGGAGAACAATGAAATGCGTCGAGAGCAAAGCCAACAAACACAACATGAGCATGATATTATGGAAAAGCCAGCATTGGCTGAAGTGGAGCAATGTAGTTTCGACTTTCAACAAGTGCCACAGCCAGACGTACAGGTGCCAAACAAACAAATTATTGCATGTAGAGTATACATTTCTTAAACCTAATGTCTTTTTTGTTCTTAGATGTTGGACATGTATAATGAGTGGACATTTGCCGATGTTGATGGCGGCGTTTGGAAGCAAGGCTGGGATATTAAGTATGATCCGATTCGTTTTAATGACCATAACAAATTAAAAGTATTTGTTATACCACACTCACATAATGATCCAGGTGAGTTGATGTACGTAAATTGTGCCGAATATAAATCTAATTACAAGTCATTATTTGCATCAGGATGGGTTAAGACTTTTGATGACTATTATGAACATGATACTAAGCATATATTGTCCAATGCGCTTCGACATTTACGCGAAAATCCAGATATGACATTTATATGGGCGGAAATATCGTACTTTTCACGTTTCTATGACGATCTGGGACAGAATAATAAACTCGAAATGAAAAAGTATATTACCATAATTAGAACCACAAAATATTGAAACTAATATTTACTTTTGCAGACTAGTTCAAAATGGGCAACTTGAATTCGTTTCCGGGGGTTGGGTAATGCCAGATGAAGCGAATTCACATTGGCTAAGTATTTTATTGCAACTCACCGAAGGTCAAACATGGCTGAAACAACAATTTAATATTACACCGACATCTTCGTGGGCAATAGATCCGTTTGGACACTCTCCAACTTTGCCGTACATATTGAAAAAGTCTGGCTTTCAGAATCACCTCATTCAGCGTACTCATTATTTTGTGAAGAAGGAGTTAGCTCTCAAACGTCAATTGGAATTCTATTGGCGTCAAATTTGGGGTAACTTTATATTCTTCTAAGTTTAACTTTCCATCATAATACTTATTTATATGTGATCTTGGCAGATACTTCAGGCAGCACCAGCCTTTTTACGCACATGATGCCATTCTATTCATATGACATTCCACACACATGTGGACCGGATCCGAAAATATGCTGCCAATTCGATTTCAAACGTATGCATGAATTTGGTCTTTCTTGCCCTTGGCATGTGCCTCCACAGTCGATAACGGATCAAAACGTAGCACAGCGGTAAATTACCTTTATGCTTATAATATGAAAAGTTATAGCTTTTATAATAGTATACACTCTTACATATGTATGGACATTTTAACTGTGACATTTTACTTGTTTTAACGTATATCCAGCGCGGAAATGTTGGTAGATCAATGGAAGAAAAAAGCCGAGTTGTATCGTACCAATGCGTTGTTAATACCTTTAGGCGATGACTTTCGCTTCAGTCAAAGCACTGAATGGGATGTACAACGTGTCAACTATGAAGCACTCTTCGATCACATCAACTCGGAGCATCGGCATTTCGTGGAGGCCAAGTTTGGCACATTGCAGCAATACTTTGACGCCGTTCATCAGGAGCAACGCGAGGCCATGCGTGAATTCCCCACATTAAGTGGAGACTTTTTCACTTATGCAGATCGTTCAGACAACTATTGGTCCGGTTATTACACATCACGTCCATACTATAAGCGTTTGGATCGTGTGTTATTACATTATGTACGTGCTGCCGAAATGCTACATAGTTGGCGTACATGGGATACTTCTGCGAAGTTTGATGAAATGCTGCAGAATGCTCGTCGAGAGCTTTCATTATTTCAACATCACGACGGTATAACAGGTACTGCCAAGACGCATGTTGTAAACGATTACGCGCGCCGTATGTTGGATGCTGTAACGACTTGCCAATTTGTGATGCAGCAGGTGGTTTATAGGCTACTTACAAAGCCATCGGTATGGAAGGATCTAAGAGCTTATATTAGTATAATATAATATGTATGTGAACTGAATTTTTTTCAGATTTATATACCAGACTACAAATTTCATTATTTCTATCTTGACGACTCCCGATGGCCCGGTCCCACTGACAGTCGCAGTACGATTATCTTAGGCGAGGAATTACCCATTAAACATATTGTTATGCATAATTCCTTAGCTCGTTGGCGGGAGGAGTTAGTTGATTTTTATGTTTCAAGCCCTTATATGGCTGTAAAGGATTTTCAAGACAATACTGTCGAAGCACAAATCACGCCCGTGTGGACTTGGCATCGGCATACGCCATCTAATACGATTACACCGCAAGCATCCACTACAAAGTATCGATTATTGTTCAGAGCGAAGGTGCCTCCTTTAGGGCTGGCTACATACATAATACAAGCACAAACAACTCCACATAAGTACGTAGTAAGTGATTAAATAAATGAAATTATATTATTACAATATTATGCAATTTCAGGCATACAACTTATGCGACGAATCTCATTTTGACTAGAAATCCAACGTCTATTAGTTTAGGAAATTATCCGCATGAAGTGAAATTCGGTGAACATAGACCGATTTCGCTGCATGTCGCCGGTGGACCAACTGTGGCGTTTAGCGGCGACGGCCTTTTAAAGTCGATACAAATTAATTCGCACACACCACACATACCTATAAAATTGAAATTCTATAAATATAGTGGTGATAGATCTGGCGCCTATCTATTCATGCCACACGGGCCGGCGACACCGTTAGTTGACATGGGCCCGCCATCAGTGCTGGTCAGTGAAGGTCCTTTGGAAGCTAGTGTTACAGTCGGACTGCCATTCGTGGTACATCAGACGATATTGCGTGGTGATGCACCTGAAATACAAAATTTGGTGGACATTGGACGCACGGACAACACAGAGATCGCAATGCGTTTTCTGACTCGAATAGAAAGTGGTGATATATTTTATACTGATCTCAATGGTTTACAGGTAATTTTAATTCTATCAGTTCATTTTCTACATTTAAATAAAATTTCATTATATCCCACTTCTTAACTGTAGTTAATTAAACGTCGGCGTTTGAGCAAATTACCATTGCAAGCCAATTATTATCCCATACCATCAACTGCTTATATCGAAGACAGCACATACCGTCTGACATTGCTAAGTGGTCAACCTTTAGGTGGTTCTTCGCTAAACTCCGGTGAGCTGGAAATCATGCAAGATCGTCGCTTAACACACGACGATGAACGTGGCCTTGGCCAAGGAGTATTGGATAATCAGCCAGTTCTGCATGCATTCCGTGTTGTATTAGAACGCATCGATACCTGTCTGATGCTATCGGAAACTCATCCTTCAGGTGCCTTAACACCAACCGCATACATGGCTTCGCAAACTTTGTTGCATCCATTGGATAAATTTATTTTCATTGAAAATAATTGGTTGGGCGTACTGCCAGCTTTTGGCGAAAAGCGTACTGGTGTTGGTGAAGATACAAGCGTTGCGGTTTTTAGAAATTTACCACCAACTTTAACAAAAATAGCTGTGGCACGTGATCGTAAAACAAAAGATCCCCTAATTAATACTGGCATTATCATACATCGCACACTACTTTTGCAATGTCGTGCTGCCGATCAGCAAGCAGGTCTGGTAAGTATTAGTAATTTTCTAATTATACATATTTGTTATCATAAAATTTATTTAAATTTCAGGTTAATTTGAACAAACTGCTAATGTTCGACTCCGTGAGAGGTGTTTATAATACAAGTCTGACATTTCTACAAACGACACAAAGGATAGATAACGCTGAAGTAATTAATCTCTGTCCGCTGGATACGCAGGCATATATAATACAACACCACAGCTAATTTGAGAAAAGCAAAAAGTATATTCGTCCACCTATATATATTTTCAGTTTAGATTTAGTTTATAAAACGAATCTCAGAATGGAATCTCCCATTAATGTGACATTTACATATGTAATGTCGCGATGTATCGTACATATTTGTCTTTTGAATGCAAGCTTTATGTTAAATGTACCACTGCATTTAGGACATTGTTAATTTTACTTGTATCACAGTATGTGATGGTTAATTGATTTAATTTATTAATATTTCTGTGTACATTTGTGATGATCGGAACAAATAATTAATTAATATTATATAACACAAAATTTTTATTATACATACATATATGTATGTTTACACTATACACACCACAATGATATTTTTTGTTTGACAACTTGACGAATATTTAGTAGATTTCGTAGTACATATTATATGTAATTATGTAAAATAATGAATTTTAAATAAATACGCAGACCATTTTTCTTTTAAGAGCTTTATTTTCCTATTGAATGTGACAAGCATCGTGGTGTGAAAAACATTACAAAGTTACAGAAAATTAATTTAAATAAAAAATTGAGTAAAATTTTCTAATTGCGATCGCCTCTCGGCAGGAATATTCAACCCCTCCGAGTGTATTTGTGACATGAACATCAATATCTGTTTAAACTGTAGGTCCCTCCATTTGTTGGAAAGACATTAACAGGCCTATTCAGTCGAGGTAACAAAATTTACCTAGGTATTAAAATTTCATTCGGTAAATTTTGTTACCATTTCGTATTCTGAGCTCACTGTAAGCCTGTAAATTTTGTTACCAGCGAAATAGGAGGTAACAAACATATCTGCTGTTTGATTTTGTGTTGTAAGTTTGAGAAAAAATAAAAAACCGAAATGGGTAGGCATATTTTAGGCCTGGACTTCATTGAAGATGAAGAAAGAAGTGCAAAAAGCCGTATTTTAAGAAGTTTTCGAAACTAAAAAATAGCCCTTTAATTTTTGAGATAAGGTTTTCATTCAGCTTTTTTTGTTGTCCAGGCATATTTTCCAAAATTAGGTTCAAATATTTATGATTTAATAAATAAATAAATAAAACTTATTTATTTTGTTGTGCACCGTCTTCCATTTTGATGTGGATATTTTCCTTTTTTACTTTACCAACTGGCAAATGTAATTTGACAAGGACGAAAAAAGCAGTGCTGCCAAATTTTTTTCAAACATTTTAACCAGTTTGCCAGAATAACAAATTCAATTTCATGTGCTAAAGAAAAGTAACAAAATTTACTTTACCGGTAACAATGAGAATAGGCCTGTAAGAAGTAAAACCACAAATTGGAGGAAGAGCTCGGCCGAAAATCGCTTCAGCGGTTAGAAAGCGCCAACTATATGTGACAAGCATTCAGCGTTTGAAAGAGACGGACCAAAGTGTTAAACGAGAATAATAATAGTCGGATCCACTTTATGAAGCCGAATAGTATTCCTCACATTTTTCTAGGTTAGACTTCATTTACTTGAATATTCTGAATTGATACATACGAGTATTCCCTGCAAGAACGGGCTGATGGGTTCACCAATCTCACACTCACATGATTTCGGACAGCACTAACACATAAGCAAATTTTTTTGTTTATCTTTCTCTTCTGAGTACATACAAATTGAAGGAGAATGCAGTTGAACGGATAATCCATTTGATTTTATGCTCTTATTTTCGAGTAAAACGCCATTTTTATACTTTTATTCGTGGCAGATAGCAGAGAATGCAAAAAAGTGAAAAATATGGATAAGGATCCTATACAAGCTGTGGTAATAATATAAAATCTTGTCGATTAATTAACTACTTTATTTTGGAGCAGGTTGACTGGAGCAGGTCGACAAAACTTTGGAAGGTACAACTGCATTTAGACATTAATAACATTATGATTCGAACATTATTTTTTTTATTTTACTAAGACTTTACTTTATACTTCAAAGGAGTCGCGATTATGTCGGAGTCGTTCGTGGAGGTGAGGAGCTGTGTCACCAGCCACGACACTGTACATGCGGTTTTGCTGCTAATATTTTGCTGATTTTTGAAAACGATTTATTGTTGTATGGTTATTTCGTTTCTATGCTATGAACAGTCCTCCACAAAAGTGAAGGTACAGCAAAAAAAATTCTTGAAAATATTGTTAACTGATTTTATTGATGGAATAAAAGTAAATTTTTCTTAACGTATTTTCTTAAATAACAAAGGAACTTAGAATCCATGTAAAAACAGAAACGAAATCCAGCACATTAGAAAAGAAATAATTTAATGTCGCTGATAAGCCATTATATTGAATCCACAAATGTCAAGCTACATCTAAAAAAATAAGTAAATATGAATTGCAGTTATGACATTGGTTTCTCTGCAAACCTCACCTTTTCCCGTATTTTGTAGGAAATCCTTTAGTTTTAATTACTGATCTCAAGCTTTTACTCATCGAATGCATCAATTTTTGGTGAACTCGCTGCTAATGTTGCTCCACTCCTCTAGCATAACGTCCTTATGCTGCGCCTTGCTTGAAATCGTTCTTTTCCTGATTCTAGTTTCGAGCTCATACCAAAGATTGAGCAATCGGGTTTAAATCAGGGCTTTGAGATGGCGTAGAAAACATACGAGCATTGAACAACAACCACATTCCAACTTTGTGAGCTGTGTGCTTAAGGTCACTGTTCTGCTGAAACTAGAGGTCTTTTTGTAACCTTATCATAAGAGCACTTTGCATCATATTATTGCGTAGAATATCTAAATACGAATTCTGGTCCATATTATTTTCGACAAAAACAAGGTTTCCACCTCGTCAGCTGCCATGCAATCACATACCGTGACACCACTGCCTCCGGGCTTAATGGTTTTAAACGTATACTTTGAATTAAGCGCTTCTGCTACTCTTCGCCAGATCCTTTTATGTCCATTTATGTCAAATATGCACAACTTAGACTCATCTGAGAATAAAATTCTATTCCAAAACTCCAAAAGCTGCTTCCTTGGTATCCTACAACTGCTCTTCGCACAGTTTCTGCACTAACCTGTGTTTTGTCGTAAACAGCAAGATCATCACTAATTTTTCTGTAGCTTACAAATGGGGTTTCTTTTATTGTACGCAAAATTTTTCTCTTTTCACTTTCATTCAGTTTGGGCGGGCGTCAGTCCCGGATGGATTTTCAATTCTATTTCCGCTGTTATAACAGTTAATTCCTTTTGAAATGATGACCGACTATGCAACACAATCTCCGTTATTTGTGAATAAGATTTTCCTTGCCGTACATGTATGTCAGTTATGATTTCCCTCTCTCTAATTGTCAGCTCTCTTCGGCCCATAATCCTTCGGCATCAATGCTTTTGCTCATCTATGTTCTGTTTGTCCGACAAGAATGACGAAAATTCACAAGGAAACGAAGGGAGAATGACGTACACGTATCAGAGAACATCAAAGACCGAGAATAACCGATTGCGGACAGCATGTGAACTGCCAGAATCGACGAAAGAAATAAGAGACTATTTCACCACTGCCCCCAGAAATCGGCTCTGTTTGTCAACATTTCTGAGCAAGATAATAATAAAGTAATTGTGTACCAAAATCATTCTTCTGTAAATAATTCGTTAGTCTCTGGTAGTACGCTGTTAACTAGCACTGAAATAGTTTCTTACTAATATCGTATAGAGGTAAGATGAATAGTCTTCTTCTCTCTCTCTTTAATATACGTTCAACATCACATTTGTCATTTCGGCCTTAAGAAAGTGATGGGAAAATCATTGTACGAGCTGACGGGATATGACATCATGCATACCTGACACATGTTGGCTCAAATGATCAGAAGCTTTCTTGTGGGGTTTATAGCGATCTAAGAAGAAAACTACAAAAAATTTCTCATATTATATTTTGGAATTTAATCAATCAAGTAAGCTGGTATTAACTAGAAAATATATAGTGTGTAGTAAAAAGAAACCTATTATTTTTGCATGAAATTGAATGCTGTAATTTGTTTCCTTTTCGTATCCAGCCTTATTCAAATGAAGTTTATGTGCGATCTTTAGCCCTGGGAAATCGAATCAGTGCTTAAGGGCGGAAGCTGGTCTAGAGCGCAAAAAATGGACATATTTTATGAATTTATTTTGTCTCAACAAAGGAATCAAACCAAAATCTGTGAAATAGGTTTAATAATATAGGTTTCATGGTACAAATACAAAAATTTTCATGTAAATTAATTTCGAAATGGCCGCTGTCCAGCATTTCTCCGAAGACGCATTTTTCTCTAATGAGTCCATGGCCGAAGATGTAAACTCCTTAATTTTTATCCTGGATCAAAAAATTATTATTTTTTAGTTTCGATATAACAACAGCAAGAGACGTACGTAGGATTTTTTCAATATTTAGTTATTTTGCGAAACGTTGCACGTTGTAACAGAAAGTAACAATTTTCACTATAAAAAACGATATAAAATTTTTGATTAAAAAAAAACTATGTAATATAAAAAGAAAATCCTACGTACGCCTTCGGAGAACGGTATTTCGAACTGTCAAGATTTCGTAAGACTCGGTGAAGATTTGCTCGAGATATGTTTTCGGCCAGCTTAAAAAAAGTGATTTTGAGAAAAACGCGTTTAAAGTTGTAGTTGTAGGTTGTTCGTGGCATACCTGCGAGGCACTGCCGTCGAATGAAAAATTTGAGCATTTAGACATTTTTGCCGGCATCCATCTTTTGGTATGTTATTTCTAGGACCCTAAAGCACCTTTTAAGACAAAAATTATTTTTTTGATTTTTTCAAAATTCTAGACCAGCTTCCCCCCTTAAGTGACGGTCGGACTCAACATTGTCCAGGATTGTATCAACATTTTCGACATTTAGCCTTTCACTTCGTGAAGCATCTTTCACATCAAAATTGCCGGAATGAAACCGAAATTGTGCATGATTGACTGTAATAGTCAGGACTATAAACGCTTTTCACATTTTCAGCCGCCTCGTTTGCCTTTTCGCCCTTATCGAAGAAAAACTATGATATATACTGAATTTTCTCTTTGTGTCTAGTGTCCATCTTTGACGCACAAAACAAACAAAACTGAATCAACCAATCATAAAACTGTCAGAAAAGTTTTTTTTTTTCACGAAATGTCATTTTCCTAAAGCCGTCTAGCTTAACCCGATCGGACTAATACGTGCTTATACAACACGAGATACAGATCCAGTATGTCAATTAATTGTAAATGAGAAAATCACAAAAATTTCTTCTCAAATTTTTTTTCATAGTCAATTGGTTCTTTGCAAAACGCCCACACAATTCAAAATAATTAACTTAACGGTACCACAAGTTTGAAAACGATTGAGCGCGTGCGTCATAGCTATGCGTTGCTCTCTTACATTCAACTCGATTAATGCTTTGGATATTCTTGTTGATTTAGCGCTTTCAACCATACCTGGCTAGTTCGCTTGCCAATCTCATTCATTTTGTTTATTTTAACTAACACAAAGGA